TTTTGTATCATTCAAACCTATATTTTAAACAAATACATTACTTAAATTCTCTATTAAACCAATTTCTTTACTTCCCTTTAAGAATCAGCAATGACTTATCCAAGGTTGTAATCCCTTAGAGTTACCTTGTACTGCATAATTAATCAAAACAAATATTATACCCATAATGAGGATACCAAGTTAACTCAAGCATAATACAAGTGATATACATACAATGCTGTTTTTTTTAAAGTGGATACTTATTATCTTTAACAAATATTAAAAATAATTTATCTTTAATAAATATTAAAAATAATTAAAATTATTTAATATTTAAATAATATTAAAAATAATTATTAAAATAATTAAAATATTTTAAATATTTAAAATAATATTTTAAAATATTAAAAATAATGTAATATTAAAAATACATGTAACATAAATTTTACCATCTTAAACATTTTTAATATACAGTCCAGTTAAGTGCATTCACATGGTTGTGCAACCAATCTCTAGAATTTTTCTACCTCCAAATGGAAATCCATACTCATTAAATAACAACTTCCCCCAATCCAAGAATAGAGTCAGCTTACTGTGGGTTTATTTTTGAAAATGCAGTTATTTTGGAGCATTAATTGTTTCTTTTCATGGCAACTCTTATCACACCATCTTTACTCACAGCCTGAAAAATAGCTATTTACCTAACATCCCTCCGAATACATCCAGGTCATAAATAATATTCCCTCTAAGGCAAACATCATGCTATCATAAACTAGGTGCCACAATACGATATTCTAAAATTGTATTCTGAAAGAATTGCTTTGAGTCCCAAGTGCTTAGAGAACAAGTAAATGCATCTGCCTATAATTTTCAATCAGTCACTCTATTGTTCAGAAAAATAGTTGACAGCATAAGCACCCTGTAAGTATTTTATTCAGAGGAGGAGAGGAAACATAAAGAATCTGAGGCTAAGGTAGGATGACAGGTTGATTTAGTACCATCAAAGACCTGCTGTTTTTCAGACACAATTATAATGGCTCTATTATGTAATGGAACAATGATTTTTCAAAGATTTATGATACATGCAGTAGCAAAATAAATAAATTAATAAATTAATTTTAAAAAGACAAAAAAAATAAAAAATAAAAAAAAACCTTCCCATTATTCTTACTTGGAGGCAGATCCCGCATTTTGGGGGATATAAAATACTCTCTGAAGTGCCTCAGCTTATCTTCCTTGTCCAGGTGGAGAGCAACCCTCTCATCCGTCGGGTGACATTTGAGTTCAGCCGCGATGCGTCGCACAGTGTCAGCAGGCAGCTCAGAGGTGAAGGCTCCATTACAAATGGTTCTCTCAAAGGAAAGAAAATGATAAAATGTCATTTAGCCACCATCATGTTAACTGCAGTCCTTTAGGTAATACATCTTTTGTTTTAACTGAGATTCCCATTTTCCCAACCTCAGAAATAATATAATTAACCACCCAGCGTCAAACTCCATGCCTGAGTCTTCCTCATACATAATATATATTGAAAGGACTAAATTAGGTGATCATGCTCAGGACAGAGTAAGTTCTCAATAAATGTTATCTCTTTCCATTCTTATTATCTAGAAAAGCGCATCTGTCTGTGGCTTCCAAACGTGTATAACTTCATCACCTTTTCTTCTAGAATCTTACTGAGAAGTAATAGTGAAGTATAGAAAAACAGTGATCCGCCAAGCCTGTCATTGTCACTAACCCACCCCCAGTGGTTCTTGGATCATCATTTTAAAACTATGGACATAATGAACCACCAAAATTCATTATTGTGAATGAAAATGATATTGATGAAAAAGGTAACTTTAAATATTAGTATTTTGCTATACGAATACCAGAGAGATTCATGCACCTGCTGCTGATAACAATGAAAAAGTTCTTCTTTGTCAACACCATATGTACCATGTTAGAACAAACAGAACCCTGTGTGTTTCTTGAAATCACATTGCGCTCTGTTTAATCGTCATTTAACATTTTCCACTTTTTTGGAAAGAAAACTTAATCTCTCTGAAGGGGATAAATGACAATGAAGATTTAATCACGTATTTTTAAATTACCCAACTTTGTTTGTTTTTATATTTCTCTAAGTTTTTTCTTGAAATTGAGCAGGAATAATAGTAGAGGGAAAAAAGATGCTCTCAGAGGTTTAAGCATAAAGATGTTTTAAACAGGAATATTTGTAATTTCAGAAAATTTAGAAAGGTCCTCTCCCATAGGACTTTCCCATATGCCTTGACATCTTCTCTTTTCCTCTCTCCCCCGCTCTCTTTCCCCTCCCACCTCTCTTCTTTGTTTGTGTTCTTATTTTGGCTATGATCTTGAGAACAATGTTGAGCATAAGAACACCAGCTGAGTGAAAGTATTTTTGACCTTTTCTCTAATAACATCTCAGACACCATCTAAGAATAGAAGGAAACTTACTTATCTTAATAAAGTTTCTTTTAGGACCTAGAATAAACATATAATGGAAAATATCAGAAAACCACAGGCTGTGCCTATGGCCTTTCCTTAAGATTAAAAAAATAATAATAAATTTTATGTTGGGAGTCGTGATCCTTTCATTTTCCCAAAACTTATTTGGCTTTGTTTTTCATGTTCAGAGTTGCTAAAGAACATTTGTTCTTGGTGTTATGCTAGTCTCTTAAATAACTTCAGATGCTTTATCAATTTTAGATGTTCTTGGAAGATTTTAATAAGATAGGAAATATTGTTTCTTGATGAATTCATATCTTGTGAATTAAAAAAAAAAAGAAAAAATTCAGTACTGTTGGGCTCAGAACAAAAATACCCCAAAGTATTGTGCCTTGCTATGCCAAGTACTCTGAACTGAAGGAGGTTGAGAGGGCCTTGGAAGCAAGTTCTCTGTACTTCTCCAGCACTCAGCCCCTCATACCCAGGTGGGTCAAAGAAACTAGAATTCCTCTCCCAAAGCAAGCCATGAAACCTAGTAAGCTCACTCTCTGATCTTTTTCCTTCTCCCTTATAGACCTTCATGCAACAGGTGTCCTGCCCTGTACTCAGAGGGAAGAAATGCTACCTCGAGAGACCAAGAAGAATCTGAACGCAAGCCTTGCTGAGTTCCTCCTAGTTTATTACCCTTAGGTCACCATCCTTTTGTTCAATCTATTCTCAACAGCCACCATTCTTTCATCCGACTTAGTATAAAGACAATAGTTTTCCCTGGGTCCTCAGGTCTTCATTTCTGAAGAAGGCTCACAGCCATGTATAACTTCGTTAGATAAATTTGTGATGCTTTTCTCTTGCTAAGCTGTCTTTGTTATGGTGGTCAGCCATGAGCTTTCTAATGGATGAGAAAAAGGTGTAACATTTTTGCCTCTACCACACCATGTGCTCCTGAGTCGGGTGTCTTTGTGGAGTGCAAACCTGAATGGCCCTCAGGCTCAGCTTCACCTATAAGCCCATGAGGCTCACTACCTCACTTCATTTTCCTGTCTGCTCAGACACGGCATCATCAGCCTTTCCTTCCAGACTGTCTTGGGTGAGATACACACCTCATCTTCATAGCACTTGGAGCAGCACCTGCTCATACAGCATATATTACGTTGTTTCTAAGTTTGGTTATTATCTGTCTCCTCATACTAGATTTAAGTTTAAGTATTTGACAATCTCACTCTTTAGTTCATTGAACTTTTCTGGAGAAAGTGTCTGGAACGAGAAAATGAATAATATTTGCTGAATAGATGAACCCCTAGAAAGTAAGAAGCAACTAGACTGGGAATAGTGAGAATGGGAATTAAGTGATCCAACTCTCTATGAAACCATCGCTTCCTAGCTGGTCGAGAACGGGTGACTGGGCCTCACCCTCAGCGTCTCTCTCAGTCAGTAATTCTGGGTAGGACCGAAGAACTTGCAATTCTACTAAGTTCCATAGTGAAACTCATGCCTCTACACCTTGATAATCATTGATTTAGAAGAACTCTTGGGGTTAAAGAAGTAAAGTTTTGTATCATTCAAACCTATATTTTAAACAAATACATTACTTAATTTCTCTATGAAACCAATTTCTTTACTTCCCTTTAAGAATCAGCAATGACTTATCCAAGGTTGTAATCCCTTAGAGTTACCTTGTACTGTATAACTAATCAAAACAAATATTATACCCATAATGAGGATACCAAGTTAACTCAAGCATTATACAAGTGATATACATACTATGCTGTTTTCTTTTAAAGTGGATGCTTATTATTTTTAATAAATATTAAAAATAATGTGCTAAAATACAAGTAACATAAATTTTACCATCTTAAACATTTTTAATATACAGTTCAGTTAAGTGGTTGTGCAACCAATCTCTAGAATTTTTCTACCTCGCAAAATGGAAACTCCATACTCATTAAATAACAACTTCCCCCAATCCAAGAATAGAGTCAGCTTACTGTGGGTATTATTTTTGAAAATGCAGTTATTTCGTAGGCATTAATTGTTTCTTTTCATGGCAACTCTTATACACACCATCTTTACTCACAGCATGAAAAAATAGCTATTTACCTAACATCCCTCCGAATACATCCAGGTCATAAAATAATATTCCCTCTAAGGCAAACATCATGCTATCATAAACTAGGTGCCACAATACAAGATATTCTAAAATTGTATTCTGAAAGAATTGCTTTGAGTCCCAAGTGCTTAGAGAACAAGTAAATGCATCTGCCTATAATTTTCAATCAGTCACTCTATTGTTCAGAGAAATAGTTGACAGCATAAGCACCCTGTAAGTATTTTATTCAGACGAGGAGAGGAAACATAAAGAATCTGAGGCTAAGGTAGGATGACAGGTTGATTTAGTACCATCAAAGACCTGCTGTTTTTCAGACACAATTATAATGGCTCTATTATGTAATGGAACAATGATTTTTCAAAGATTTATGATACATGCAGTAGCAAAAATAAATAAATTAATAAATTAATTTTAAAAAGACAAAAAAAATATAAAAAATAAAAAAAACCCTTCCCATTATTCTTACTTGGAGGCAGATCCCGCATTTTGGGGATATAAAAATACTCTCTGAAGTGCCTCAGCTTATCTTCCTTGTCTAGGTGGAGAGCAACCCTCTCATCCGTCGGGTGACATTTGAGTTCAGCCGCGATGCGTCGCACAGTGTCAGCAGGCAGCTCAAGAGGTGAAGGCTCCATTACAAATGGTTCTCTCAAAAGGAAAGAAAATGATAAAATGTCATTTAGCCACCATCATGTTAACTGCAGTCCTTTAGGTAATACATCTTTTGTTTTAACTGAGATTCCCATTTTCCCAACCTCAGAAATAATATAATTAACCACCCAGCGTCAAACTCCATGCCTGAGTCTTCCTCATACATAATATATATTGAAAGGACTAAATTAGGTGATCATGCTCAGGACAGAGTAAGTTCTCAATAAATGTTATCTCTTTCCATTCTTATTATCTAGAAAAGCGCATCCTGTCTGTGGCTTCCAAACGTGTATAACTTCATCACCTTTTCTTCTAGAATCTTACTGAGAAGTAATAGTGAAGATGACTTTTGTGCAAGTATAGAAAAACAGTGACCCGCCAAGCCTGTCATTGTCACTAACCCACCCCCAGTGGTTCTTGGATCATCATTTTAAAACTATGGACATAATGAACCCGACCAAAATTCATTATTGTGAATGAAAAATGATATTGATGAAAAAGATAACTTTAAATATTAGTATTTTTGCTATACGAATACCAGAGAGATTCATGCACCTGCTGCTGATAACAATGAAAAAGTTCTTCTTTGTCAACACCATATGTACCATGTTAGAACAAATAGAACCCTGTGGTGTTTCTTGAAATCACATTGCGCTCTGTTTAATCGTCATTTAACATTTTCCACTTTTTTGGAAAGAAAACTTAATCTCTCTGAAGGGGATAAATGACAATGAAGATTTAATCACGTATTTTTAAATGCTACCCAACTTTGTTTGTTTTTATATTTCCTCTAAGTTTTAGTTTTTTTAAATTGAGCAGGAATAATAGTAGAGGGAAAAAACTTTTTAGGCTAGCTTGAGTTACATATAGTTTGTCTGACTTCCTTTATATATTCCTCCATTTATTTCTCTTTCAACAGATATTTATCAGGTACCTACCAGTTGGCTTTGACAGGAAGCAGTGTATATAGGACAGTAAGTGCCAACTCTTGCACCATTTACTTTTTGGTGGAATCATGGAAAAATAATGTAATTCCAGATAGTTTCAAGAGCTACAAGAAAACAACACAGTAATGAGACACAGTCACTGGAAGTGTGGAAGAGCTACCTCAGAGTGATCAAGTGCATCATTGAGGAACACATGCACAAGCATTTCTAAATCATATTATGGAGTAAATCACATGATGATCTGAACCTGGAGGAACATGACAACAAGTGCAAAGGTCCTGGGAAGGAGACAGGTTTGGCTTGTTCAGCTAATGCACTAAGGGGAGAGGGGGAAGAAGTTATGATAAACTACGATGTGAAAGAGGCAGAGACAGAAGTTAATCATGAAGAACTTCAAAGTCTGGAAAGGAGTTTGGATAATTTTCTAAGTTTAATGAGAAACTATTGGAGAGTTTTGAATAAGAAAGGAGCATGATATAATTTTATATCAAATAAAAATCATTTTGCTCTGTGATGAGTTATAGGAGTTGAAAAAGAGAAAACTTAAGGCTGTTATAGTAGTTTGGGAGAGAAAGGAAGGTATATTAAATTCAGTGGTAAGAAGAAAGATAGAGAGAAGAATGTAGATTTATGAATATTTTGGAGAAAATGTAAATAAAGAAATTCTATCTGGCTGACAGATTATCTCTGGTGAGGCCAGGAAAGGGGGGGTTACTTCTAGTTTTGGGATATGAACACATATGTGAAAAGTGATGAAATATGAAATACCTAAGGAAGAAAAATTTTGAGGTGGGAAATCAGAATTCCTTTGAGGACATATTAAGTTTCAGATAAAGTGCTGAACATCCAGGTAGAAATACCAAGCTGGTCACTAGCTATAGTCTGTATCTTAAGGGACTATTGGATTATAAGATATGTTTAACATTTTCAAATCACAGACTGTACATAAAGCCTAGGACCCCTGGTAATGAAAACTAACACAGAAATGAAGCTCTAGAATTTAGTGCAATTATCTTTCTTCTATCCCCTCTACCTCCTTTACCCTAACCCAAACACACAGTGTTATACAACAAAGAGTTGCATATCTGAATGTTATACAGTGCCAGTAAAATAACATTCTTCCTACTTATTTGGCCTCTTCCTTTCTCAGTTGCCAATCACCTCTGCTAATGAGCCATCCTTCATATTCCTGGATAAGAATACCTGAGTTTTACCATTGCATATTTTTTAGTTTGACACAAGTAGTGTCTCCCAATTTCTCCAATCCCTGCTTTTGTACAAAAGTCAATGATTTCAGCATTGATGTCGAGGATGCTTTCAGTATCTCATCATACTTATTATTCATCCTCTTCATAAAATCTTCTATTTCTGTGATTTTCCTATTCCACTTCTTTTGCCTAAGATGTTTTGCTTCCCCTTTTACATGCTCATATTGTAGCCATTCTTTAAAGCCCTAGCTCAAATGTTACTTTTTTTTCCTGAGGCCTGTTTTGATAGCTCAGCTAAAAGTAGTCTTCCTCTGAACATCTGTAACACTTATGAGCACATTTATGAGTGTTACTTAATAATAAATAATACATATTGCCATGTTCTATATTTATCTAGGCACATGTGTGGATGGAAATGATCAAACTTGCTTGCTATGCTTATAACTTGATTCTAAATGGGTTTCTACTTCTAGCTTTCTGATGAAGGAAAGTGTCTTTTGAATGGAGGTGACTGTCTCTCTACCACTTGTAGAGACACAAGTGACTGTGCCTCTATCACTCTATTACCTGGTTATAGTTGATTAAACCTCTGCTGGACACTTGTCCACCAAAGACAATCTGCTGTTTTGTCAAAGATCTGTGAATGACTAGCTGTAGAAGCTCTAACCAAACAGTGGTGATGGTGTTTAGCTAAGCATATAATCAAATTCTTTCAGAAATCTGAGCTTCGAGATATATTTATTCATTCCGTTAGAAACAGGAGCAAGAATTTAAAAGAATCACAGAAGCTAGGAAATGCTAGGATCTAAGAGGAATACTGTCAGAGAGACTCATTTTTCAGAGTCAAACAGAATCACTGATTATTAAAGCATGAAAAGCAGGAAGTGAATCCAGCAGCCAATAAGAATGACTTAGTTATGCAAGGGCGGGGAATTGAACAGCTATGTCTCCTGAAAAGATGTTTGGGCTATTCCTAAATTTCCATGAGATGTTTTTCTATCTTACTATCAAGTGTGTCTTTACCACCAACATTTTAATTATGATAGCTTCACAAAGTTGCTGTTCTACCCTACTGAACTATACTTTACATGGTGCCCTAAATTATGTTCAACTTATCTTTATAGCCACCCTGTTGCTGAGCAGTGTCTTTTAGATAGAACTTCCCCAAAATGCCAGTTGACTAAGAGAATAAGCGAAATTGCTCGGTGAATCATTTTGGAAAAATTAATGACATATGACTAGAGGAACACCTAGTCCTCATTCTGACCACACGGGAAATAATTTGAGAAATATTTCTAGGGAAATTCAAAATCAAGAGAGCTTGCTTTATACTCGTGACATTCTTTGGGGAGTCAGCACTTTGAGAGTTTATTGGAGATGAGTTTAAATTCTAAGTGGGGTTACTTAAATAAATACACAGATTAATTTGCTACCATCATATTCTGCACAAAACTCAACTTTCCCTGTTAAAAAAAAAAAAAAAAAAGATATCCATTAGCCTCTTTCAGTATTTTATTTAAGCCTTGTAATAATCCTGAGGCCTCAGAATTATTTTCCTCCATTCTGAGACCAAACCCTGGAACAAACAGAATAGAAACAAAAAAGGAATGGAAAGATAACAGAATGTGCTCTTTGGTATTGAACTGTGACTAAGATACTGGTCTTTGGTAAGGGCTATGGATGGAATGTGCAAAGCAGAACTCCTCAGCAGAGACTTAAACCTATCACTTTATTTGTCCTTGCATCTTACCTCTTTTTAAAATTTTTAAAATTTTTAAAAATTTATGTTTCTTCAGCTCGTTCATTTTTTTTTTTTTTGGTCTTTTTTCTACAGTCCTACCCTCCATCTGCAAAGGGCCACAGGGTATTTATAAATCCATTTACACTTTTTAATCTATCCTTCCCAAACTAGTCCCAGACAGGCAAGAGTTAAAGTGGTTGGTTCTGCTTCTGGGTCCCTCACACCTGGGGTCCAGTGAAATACTTGATAGCAGTGGTCTTTCTGGAGTAAGTGCACCCCACTCCACAGCCTCAGGATAACACTTTCACTCCAATAATTTATTAACTCATGCTAGTTGCTGCTTAATTCTCCATTCACCACACCGGCTAAGACAATTAATTAGTGCTCACAAGCCACAATTTTATGCTATCTTAGGTTCACCATTTGCAAATAAATTGACATGCTCATGTTTTGAAATGAACATATTAAGTTCAAGTTAAAAAAAAGAGAAAATTTCAAATGTTATAATTCACATATTTCGTGTTAACTTTATTAAGAAGGTGGACACAGGCACCATAAGGTCTTAGGCAAGTCACCTAACCCTTTTAAGCATCAATATTATATAAAATAAAGTTAAATTTTAATTTGTTCAAAGGATCATGGTTAGGCTCAAATGACATTAATGAAGTCCTTGATAAAAAGATACACTTTAAAAATGTCTTTTAATATCAATGGAAATTTGCCACTGTGCCCTCCATTTAGCTTTTGACATTTTCAAATTGTTTTCTCACAATTCTATTCAGACAGCTATATATAACTCTAAAGCTAAAACTTGCATGATAATTAAAAACGGATTGTTTTGATGGAAACCACTGAATTCGGGATCTCCTAGTTACCCACGAGTCTAAGATGAAGTAGTTAAATAACTGTGAACCCAGTAGTTAATTTTTTACACAGTTTCACATTTCATGCCTGAAATCAGCAAATTGTACTTATGAGTTCAAAGTGTAGAATCAAATTTAGAAATACATAAAGAAAGTGTGTGCCTTTTCATTGAGAAAGAACAAAAGTAAATCTTAAAATATATGTACACGCAGGAAGCTTCTTTAGGGATATCTTTGAGAAATGAGTGACATTTCTGTGTTACAACTGCATGGTTCGTATCTGTTAGGTTTGTTCCGGATGGCAATGTGGACAGTATCCTAAAGCCTGTGACACAGAAGCCACCAGTCTGGAGAGTCTGAGGCTGTAAATCTAACTTCAACCACAGATAGCTAGAGAGCAGCATTCCTATCGTCCCCTGATAGGGACGAAGTTACCCACTCCCCTATCTCTGCAGGTATTACCCACTCTCCCCTGGAAAAACTCTCCATAAAACTCAAGGCTTTCCCTCCCTTGGGGTGGACGCTCTTTGGCCCCCACCCATCTGCCCCTAGATGCTCAAAATAAAACAGCATTTTGCTACACATAAGGCTTCGTGTATTTCCCTCTCAGCTCCGGACCTATCAATATCTAGGATTCCAATTACTTGCTGAACTTAACATTAATAAAATCATCACATTTGCTTCAATGCTACTACTAAATAACGCCCCATCTTGCACAAAATAAAAACAGGAAAGAAAGAAGAAAACCTTTTACTACAAAGAAAAACGTATGTCAGCTTTCCATTCTTAGGCAAATGTTTCAGAAAATGAAAGTGGAAGAAACTTTGCTCAAGAAACAGAAGTTTCACTTCTCTAAACAAATATTTAGTATGAGTTAAAGAAGTGTAAGACAACTAGAGTTACCAGAAAACAGCAGACTTAAAGCCTATTTAAAGATATCTTTCCCTCATCTGGATTTTGATCTAATCTTATTTAAATTCAAGTAACTACAGGATTAGCTTTAATTTGTCAAATGTAACCATGTTCAACAGATGTACTACAGTGTACTATTGAACAATTCTTTTTTACTACATTGGTAAAGATCTCTTCATATAACCTGTTTTTAAAGGTGAGGGGCCTTAGGGTGGTCATGCCATTTTTATTTATGAAGAGAATGTGGGGAAAAAAATGAAGAACTCAGCAGAAAAAAACCTTTAAAGCACTACGACAAGGATTCTAGCCGAGAGAAGCTTCATTTGGAAAAGCCACTGAGTGAGTATTTGTGTCCAGAATACACACCTAGTGCCTGGTGC